GGGGTGGGGTGGGCGTGAGGGGGCGGGGCCAGAGTTTGGGGGTGACAGTGGAAGGTGAGCCTGTGGCTGGGGTGATGCTTTTGGGGGAGCCAAGACTGGCTGGCGTCAGTAGGAGGCGAGGTCGGTGCTGGGAGCGTGGCCAGGCTGTGGGGCCCAGCTGGTGATTGGCTGCCCTCGGGAGCAGGGCTTACCATGTGCGGGTGGGAGGGGCTCTGTGCTCTCCACCTCGATGTGCAGGGGTGGTGCTTCTTGGGGCGGGATCTCGGCTGAAGGGGCGGAATCAGGCATCAGCCATGCCCCATTGCTCCGCCCCCAGACAGAGCACCCACCCCCAGAACTGTCTCCAAGTCTCGTAACTGCCCCCCAAGTCCCCCTGCTCTCACCAGGGTCTTCGTCATCCTGGGCCCCCTCTTGGGTCTCAGGGGGTGGGGTCGGTGGGAGGGGCTCTGGAGGGCTCAGCCCCGCCTCCTTCTGGCTCTGCCGGGCCTTGGGGGGCTTCGGTTCTGTTGGGATGGGACACTGAGATGGCCGATTTGATGTTGGACTCCCTGCACTCCTCCCTTCTTCCCTTTTGGTCCACCCATTTGGCTCCCGCCCTCCGAGATCCTGTTTTGATTCCCCCATCCATGCTGTCCCCATCCTCGGGTGTCCCCAGCCTCAAGATCCTGTCCCACTCAGGACCCTCCCAGTTCAGGGTTTCCCCTTCTGCCCTCCCATCCAGGCCCCTCCCAGCATGGTGCCCCTCATATTCAGTCTCCTCACCCCATTTCCTGCGTGTCCTCCCCTGGCTCCCCCAAATTTGGTCCCTCTCCCCAGCCTCCACCCCCATTCACCCCCCTCCCAGTTGGGTGCCCCCATATTCTCTGTGTCCCCCTCTCACTCCATTCCCCACCCAATCCCCCGTTTGCCTCCCCCGGCCCGGTTCTTCCCCGTCGCTCACCGCGGGCGGGCAGCAGCCGGTACACGCGGTAGGGGCTGGGCCCGTCGGGACGGCCCCGGCCCGGCAGCAGTCGGAACTCGGGGCTCCGGGCCAGGGCACAGCGCAGCCGCGTCTTCCACCCTGCGGGGTCGGGGGGGTCCCCGGGCCGCACCCGCCCCTTGTACTCCGCCCACGCCTGCCGGGACCACCGGTGTCAGCGAGCCCCGGGACCCCGCCGCCGAATCCCCTCAGCACGGCCCCGCCCCTCCCCAAAGCCCCGCCCCCTCCGCTTAATCCCCGCCCCCTTCCCCGCCCCTGACCCTGCAAAGCGCCGCCCCCGGCCCGTCCTTGGCTCCGCTCCGCCCGCCGTGGGCCCAGGGGATCCTCAGCGCCGTTTGAGCCGCGTCGTCCCACTGGAGCCCCGGGAAGCGGCCGCTCCGCAGCTGCGCCAGCAGCCAGGGCCGCAGCCGCCGCGGGCCGCCCTCCGCCATGCCGGCCGCTTCGGGGGTCCCGAGGGCTCCGGGGGTCCCGAGGGCTCCGGGCCGAGCTGAGGGATCCCGGGCTCGCCGAGCAGCGCCGCCGCTTCCGGGACAACGACGTGATCTCCCGCACCAATCAGCGGCCGGCTACGGAGCACCGCCCCCGGCGTAAGGGGGCGTGGCTACAACATACGACACCGCCTCTCATTTGCATAAAGGGGCGTGAGTGTAGCGTTTATATTTGCATAAAGGGGCGTGGCTGTAATGCACAGCTCCGCCTCTCTCTTTCCAAAAGGGGAATTTTCTCCCAATATTTCAATAATTTGGCGTGGTCGTTCTTGAAAACCCCGCCCCCTGCCCCCAGTTCCCTGCACGGGGCCCCCTCAAGGGCACAGCCGAGGATTTGGGGTCCCCTCTGGACCCCCGGGGGGTCTCCCCAGTTAGGCCATTTTGGTGGGGGGGGGAGGTCACACCCATATCTGGGGGGGTCACACAGATTTTGGGGGGTCATACCCAGATTTAAGTGCTCACACAGATTTGGGGGGTCTCACACAGGTTTATTGCATATCCCCCATCTCGGGGGGGGGCAGGAGGGTTATGGGGCGTTTTTGGGGTGTCTCACCTGACCCCCGCCCCCCCTCCACCCCCTGTGCCCCCCCCTTGTGCCCCCCCGGCGTCGGGAGCTCCGGACATCATGAGGAAGAGGACGATGGGGATGATGTACATCCACTGTGGGGAGAGGGGGGAGGTCACTGCAAAATCACCTCCCAGCACGGGAAATTGGGTGGGGGTCAGCCCAAAAACAACCTCCCCCAATGGAAAACAGGGGGCATCACCCAAAAATCCCACTCCCAGGAGATTTGGGGAGAGTTGGGGGATGCAGGGGATGTGGGGAGGGGGAGTTTGGGGGTTCAGTGTGGCCCTGGGGAGGATTTTGGGGTGCTGAGGTGTGGTGTTGGGGGATTGAGCATTTGGGGAGGAGGGGGCTTCGAGGGAGGGTGGTGGGTTTTGGGGGTTTGTTGGGTTTGGAAGGGCGGGTGGCTTTTGGAGCAGTAAAGTTTTGGGGGTCTTGGTTTGTTTTTGGGCGTTGCAGGTGTTTTTTGGGGGGTCCCTCACGTATTTGGCGAAGAAGGATTTCTGCTCCTGGGGGTTCCGGGCGCGCTGCGCCTGCTCCTGCTCCAGGTGCCGGATGAACGCGGCCGTCTCAGGGCTGGGGGACATGGGGGGGACACAGGGGGGACAGGGGGAGTCACAGGCACCCCAAAACTTCCCCCCCTGCCCCCACAGGCAACCGCAGCATCCTCCAAAACCTGCAGCAGCCCCAGAATTCCCCCCCAGGGTCACTGTGTCCCCTGTCCCCCTGCCAGGGTCACCCCATCCTCCAGACCACCCCTCCAGCACTGCTGTGTCCCCCTGTCCCCAGAGTCCCCACCATGTCACCAGCTTGTCTCCCGTGCCCCACAGTGTCCCCATGTCGCAGTGTCCCACCCTGTCCCCAGGTCCCTGTCATTCCCATGGCAGCAGAGCTGGCACGAGGCCACCGAGGGGAGGGAGACTCCAGGCCAAGTGTCCCCACCGTGTCCCCGTGTCACTCACGTGGCTGCAGGCAGGGGCTGCCTCAGGGCCACCGAGCTGTTGAAGAGCTCCAGGTCCACGTCCTCCACCTCGGTGCCCCGGCAGGTCCCCGGAGCTGCCACCACCCCCAGGGCCACCACGTTCCCGGCCACGTCCAGGTGCAGCGTCAGCTGATCTGACAGGTGCGACTCCAGCAGGGCACACTGGGGACAGGGGACAGGGGCTGGCAGTGGCACAGCGAGGCGCGTGAAGGCGGCAGGTGACATGAGGGGACATGGAATGGGGGCAGGAGCAGGGTGACAGGGGCACGGGGGGACACAGGGTGGGTGACAGGGGACATGGACACAGGGAGGACGAGGGTGGGAGGACTCTGGGACATTCCAGAGACTGCTGGGGGTCAGGGCTGTCCCGGGGGGTGTCCCAGGGGGTGACAAAGGTCAGGGGTGTCCCCATCACTCACGGCCCGCACGAAGGAGGTGACGAACTCAGTGCCCCCCTCCTCGCCAGGGCCCAGGGGCTTGCGGGGGACCCGCACCCGGTACAGCCCGTCCCGCGCTGCCACCTCCTGTGGGGACACCGTGTCACCGCAGCGTCACCCCGGTGTCCCCCGGTGTCCCCCCATGCCCCCATCCCTGACCCTGAGCCGGGCGCGCTCCTCGTCCCCGAGCGGTTTCTGGGCCAGCGCCACTGCCGGCTCGGGGCCCAAGCTCAGCGCCAGCGTCCCCCGGCGCCGGAACCGTGGGGCGTCATCTGTGGGGACACACAGGGGACACGGTGGTGGCACCAGGGACAACCCTGTCCCCATGCCCCCACTGCCATCCCCATGCCCCCAGTCTTGTCCCTCAGCGCTATCCCCCTGTGCCCGTGTCCCCAGTGCCACCTGCACGTCCCCATCCCCTCACCAGCTCCAAGGACTCGCAGTGTCCCCTGTCCCCTCACCCAGCTTGGAGCTCACAGTGTCCCCTGTCCCCTCACCAGCTCCAAGGACTCGCAGTGTCCCCTGTCCCCTCACCAGCTCCAAGGACTCGCAGTGTCCCCTGTCCCCTGACCCAGCTTGGAGCTCGCAGTGTCCCCTGACCCAGTTTGGAGCTCAGTGTCCCCTGTCCCCTCACCCAGCTCGAAGGAGTGCTCCAGGCTCAGGCTCACCCGGCAGCTCTCGGTGTCACCAGGCTGGGGGGACACGAGGGGGACACGGGGATGGCACCAGGACGGGGACACCCCCCGAGGGGTGACACCCCGCCCCCTCATTAACCCTAATGAGGCTCTACAGCCTCAACCCTCTCATGAATATTAATCACCTGGCAGGAGCTAGACCCGCCCCTCACTGGCATTAACAAGCTGTCACCAACAGCCTCGTTACTCTTCACGTGAACCGCGGGGCTCGTAATAAACATTAATGAGGGCAGCACAGGGCCCAGCACCCGCCCTCCGGTGCCGGCCCCGGGGACCCCCCCCGCTCCCCCGGCCCCGGTCACGCCCGTGCTCACCCTACTGCCGGTGCCGGTGCCGGGGCCCCCCCGGCAGAGCCCCCCGCCCCCGCCCAGCGCCGCCCCCGCCGCCAGCAGCAACAGCAGCGGCAGCGGCCACGGCGCCGCCATCTTGGAGCGCGGGGCACGGCGGGAACGGGGCGGGGTCACGGGGCGGGGATGGGCGGAGTCACGGGGCGGGGTCACGGGCGGGAATGGGCGGGGTCACTGAAGAGGCGGGGCTCGGTGAGGGGGCGGGGCCAACACGGGTCTCCCAAAACCCCCCCGAAATCCAGCTCGGGACGCCCCGGGACAGACAGGGGGACCCCTCCAGTCACCCCAGCACCCTTCAGCCACTCCTGGGGATCCCCCCAAACACCTCTAAACCCCTCCAAGACACCTCGGCGCTCTCCAGTCACTCTGGCCATCCCCCAGGACCCCCAGTCACCCTTGGGACCCCCCCAGTCCCCTCTGGGATCCCCCAGTCGCCCCACGAGACACCGCGGTCATCCCTCGGGACCCCCCGAGCCCCCTTGGCCATCCATCGCAGCCCCCCGGGGAGAACAGCTGGATCTGGGGGGGTCACAGCCCAGGCTTGGTGGGAGCTGTGTCCCCCCTCTCGGCTCCCCTGTGCCCCCTGCCCCATTCCCGAGACACTTCCAGCCCTTCCCAGCGCGCAGGTGCCGGAACGGGGCTGAAAACGCGGAGAATTGAGAACACAAGGAATTGTATTCCAACATCGGGGCCGGGGGCGGGTGCGGGGCCCGGGGGCTGCCCCTGAGGAAAGGGACGGAGGCCGGGAATTGCCCAGCCCCGGGCGCCGGGAATGTCCCCGCCGGAGCCCGGCGGCGCGGCTCAGCCCGTGGGGTCCCGCAGGAAGCGGAGCAGCTCTCGCATCACGGCGAAGAACTGCAGCAGCACCGGGTTCACCGGGTTCACCGGGCTCACCGGCGCCGCGGGCTCCTCGCCGGGGCCGCCGCCGCTCCCGGGCGCTTCCAGCTGCAGCAGGATCCACTCGCTGAAGCGCCAGGCTGGGGTGAAGACGCAGCCGCGGCCCCAGCTCGTCACCCCCGCGATCCAGAACTGGTCCGAGTGGGGGTCCCGGCACACCAGGGGACCCCCGCTGTCCCCCTGCGGCGGGGGCGGCGCGTCAGGGCGGGGGTCGCGCTCCCGGCTCGGGGGGCGCTCCCGGGGGTCGGCGAGGGGAGGGGCCCCGTGGGTGGGGAGGGGGCCAAATGCGCCCCCGCTGCCACATGGCCCGGGACCGCACGTCCCTTGGTGGAGAGAGGGGAAGGGGAATTTGAGGAGGATCTGGGAGGATTTTGGGGGTCTCTGGAGGAGTCTCGGGGGTCCCAGCTGGTCCTGCAGGAACAGCAGCACTGGGCCAGGAGTTCTGGGGTCTCTGCCTGGGTTTGGGGGGTTTTGGGGCCTCACCTACCCGGGACACGGGTGGGAAAGGGGAAAGGGGAGTGGCATGGCAGCCCCGGGACGCAGAAGGGGATGGTGATCGGGACCGGAACGGCAGCCCCGGGACACGGAACGTGGATGGGGAACAGGGTCGGGACCGGGCCGGGGGTGCCGGGGGCGGGGTCTCCCTCAGGTCTCACCTGGCAGGTGTGGGACCCGCCCCGCGAGTGCTCCGCGCACACCTGCTGGGAAGCCACGGTCTCGCCGCCGCTGTTACAGAGCTCGGGCTGGAGCAGCCGCACCTGCGCCTCCTGCAGCACCTCCCGGCCGGCCTGGGCTGGGGGCGCGGCCGTGAGACCCCCGCGCCTGCCCCGCCCCATCAGTGCGCTCGGAACGCACCTGGGACACAGCTGTGCCCCCCCAGCCCCAGCTCAGACACAGCTGTGCCCCCCCAGCCCCAGCTCAGACACAGCTGTGCCCCCCCAGCCCCAGCTCAGACACACCTGTGCCCGCCATGGAGCCCCAGCCCCCAATATAACAAGGTGCGAGCCCATCCGGCCGCGCCCCTGCCTCAGCCACGCAGCCGAGCTGGACGAAGTCGCTGCACTCCACGGGCCGCTCCAGCTCCAGCAGGGCCACGTCCAGCTCCCGGTGCTTCCGCAGCCACCGCACCTGCCGCACCTGCGCCTCGGGGCCGGGGTCGCTCAGGTCTGAGGCCCCCAGGACCACGCGCCACGTGCTGACATTCCTGGGGACACGCGGGGAAGGTAAAGGGGAGTGGAGCCACCCTGGAGCTTCCCAGGGCCCTTCCGGAGCCTCCTGGAGTTTTCCGGGGCCGTCCCGGGAGGCTCCCGGCGCACGGTCCCGCTCACCTGGTGTGGAGGAAGCAGCGGGCGGCGGTGAGAACCCACGCGGGGCTGATGAGGGTCCCACCGCAAACGTGGCCGCTGCCGGCCCTGCGCGGGTCCTGGATGCTGGCGAGCCCCGGCCAAGCCCCGGGCACGGCCCCGGCGCCGTTCCCGAACTCCTCGGCCATGGGGCGGAGCCCGCAGGTGCCGCTGGAAGCGCGAAGGCGTCACCGCCCGGCCCGGTAGGACCGCGACACGGGGACAGGGACACCCCCCAGGGACCTGGCTGTCCCCCCCGGCTCTGCCTGAGTAGGGACAGGGAACCCCCGACTTGGGGATAGGGACCCCCAGGGTCACATCTGCCCCCCAAGTGGTGCCTGAGCAGCTGTGCCAGAGCCTGGTATGGACACAGGGCTGTGACCTTCCTCTGGGCTCCGGGTGTCTGTGGTGACCCCAAGGGGACCCCTGGGGAACAGGGGAACAGCTTCAGGCAGGGGTCACGTACTCGCAGGTGTCCCAGGTGCCCCAGGAGGGCACGGCCAGGGCCAGCAGGACAAGCAGCCACAGCGGAGCCATGCTGGGGACACCGTGACAGCAGCCAGAGCCCAGCGTGTCCCCTCCGGAGCCCCCCGAGCCCTGCCTGGGGCTGATGTCACAGAGCAGCCCCGGTTCTGTGCTGGGACAGTCACAGAGCCCTGGAACGGCAGGAAAAGGACCTGAAATCCCACGTAAACCTTCTCTGGGGCAGCTTAAAGCCCCTAAACTTTCCCCGTCCCTCACTCGCTGAGGACAGGAGTGGAACAGCCCTGCTGCCCCCTCAGAGCAGGGAATGGGGGCAAGCCCAGCCCAGATTCCGTGGGAAAATATCCCGAAACGAACAGCTGGAGCACCCCGGGAGCTGTGGCAGCAGCCCAGGGCAGGGCTGGGACAGTTTGGAGTGCCCTCCAGGAACACTGGGAATGGCAGGGTAAGTTTCTTAAGCAGAAAATTTATTTTTACAAAAATACATTTCTTTTTTGACATCCCACAGTGTCAGCTTGGGACACAGAAATCCCCAGGGATGCAGGGGGAGTTCAGGGCCCTTTCTTCAGGGACTCCAAGAAGAGCTGCTCGTTCTCCAGGAAATCGTGGTCCTGGGGACAGGTAAGGACAGGCTGAGCCTTTCCCAGCCCCTTCCAGCAGTTTCTCAGGCCCTTTCCCAGCCCACCTGGCCACTCCCAAGCCCTTTCCAGCTCCCCCCGGCTGTCCCTCAGCCCTCCAGCCCTGTCCCCTCACCATCTGGGCACGGTGCTTGAGCAGCAGGAGGTGTCCATAGAGTGCAGCCGAGCCTGGGTGGTCCCTGCTGTCCCCCAGGAACATCCCCACGGGAGGCAGGAGCCCAGGAGCCACCGGAGCTGCAGAGGGGGACACCCGTCCCTGCTGTGCCTTCCCACCTCCTCCCACCCTCCAGAGAGCCCAGAGCAGCTCTGGAGCATGAGGATCCCCAAGAAACCAGCTGGGACTATCCCCACAGAGCTGGAGCCTCACCCAGCCCATTGATGGGGACTGTCCCCAGCAGTGTCCCTGGAGCAGGGGACAGCTCATCCCGGAGCCGCTGGAGCTGCTCCCTCTGCCGCTCCAGGCTCAGCCGGTCCTGCCCGCGCCGGGAAAAGGGAAGGAAAGGCTGTCGGAAAAGGCTCTGGCTCTGGGCACAGCCAGGCTGGGCTGGGGAAGGAGGGATTTGCCTGGTGCAGACGCTGCTCCTGCTGCCTCAGCTGCTCCCGCTGCTCCCGCAGGGCCTGAAGCCGCTCCCGCTGCTCGGCCTGGACGCTCCGTGCCTCCCGCAGCGCCCGCTCCCCGTCCTGGTGCTGCTGCTCCGAGCGCTGCGGGAATGGCACCAGGACGGGGAGCGGGGGATGTGGAGCCCCAGCTCTGCTCCCAGCTGGGAATGCCAGCGTGGGTGCTCCACTTACCTCAGCCAGGGCGTGGATCTGCTCCTCCCGCTCCCGCAGGCGCTGCTCGGCCCGGAGAACCTTCTCCTTTTCCAGCCTCAGCTCCCGCCGGGCCTCGTCCAGCTCCTCCCTGTCCCTCGCCAGCTGCTCCTCCTTGGATCTCAGCTCCCGGCTCCGGAACTTCAGCTCTGCCTGCTCCTGGGTAGGGGGACGGTGAGGAAGTGTCACCTGTCCCATCCTGCAGTCACAGGAGAGTTCTGGGCCTGCCTGGCTGCTCCAGCTTTGGGCTGTGGTGCAGGGGGAGGTGGTCTGGGACCCTGGTAGGGCCATCAGAGACCTTGGCCAGGCTCCTCAGTGCAGACTCCATGCCCAGGGCCCGCTCCTTGTCCTGCTCCGCCCGCTCCCGGCTCAGCCGCTCCCGGGCGTGGAACTCGGCCCAGGCGGCCGCCAGCCGCCGCCGCTCCTCGGAGCGATCCTGGAGCTCTGCACGCTGCTCCTCCAGCCACGTGCCCTGGGGCCGAGGGACAGCTCTAGGGGCTGCTTTTCCCTCCTTTAGCCCCACCGAGCTGCCCCTCGCTGCTCGCGGGATCAGCGGGAGCCGTGTCCCTGCTCACCTTGGCCTCGTCCAGCGCCACCCTCTCCATGGCCAGCAGCTGTGCCGAGAGCCGGCGCTGCTCCTCCAGCGCGTCCCGCAGCGAATCCGCCCTGGAGCGCTCGGCCGCGGCCCTGCGGCGCTCCTGCAGCCACACGGGGCAGCTCGGCAGGAGGCCGGGCACGGACACGGGCACAGCTCCGGGGTAGGGCCTCACCTGCTCCAGGAGCTGCTCCCGCTCTCCCAGCCTGGTCTCCAAGTCAGCCACAGCCTCCTGGAGCCGGCTCTGCTCCCGCTCTGCGTCCCGCTGCTGCCGGCACAGCCTGTCCTGGAGCACTGTGAGAGGCACGGCACGTCCCGGGATGTGGGACCTCCCTCCATCCACGTGGACATCCCTCACGGAAACCCCTCCGTGCTCACGCGCCATCCCGGGACAGGGAGATCCCACTGTGACGTCTGCCCATGGAAGGTAGGACTTTGCCAGCTTTGGCTCCTGGCCTCTGGCTCACCAGGTTTTCTGGGAGCTGGTGGGAATCCTGGACGGAGCTGAGCCCCTGCCCAAGCACCACCGGACACTCAGACCAGCAGAGCCTCTGGTCAGGAATCCCGCCAGGAGAGATGGGACAGGGATCTATAGGCCCAGGGCTCCCTCTGGACAGCAGGAATTGTCCCAGAACCCTTTGGATTCTGTGGATCAGCTCTGACGCCGTTGGGATGGAGCAAAGGCTCCCACTGGAACGATGCACTTGGATGGAATTTACCTGTGAGCTGCTCATCCCGCTCCTGGGATCCGGGGTGATCCCGTGCCGTGCCCTGGCTCCGGGATGGGATTTGCTCCTTTTCCCGCTGTGGTCTCTCCTGCTGTTTCTCCACCTTTCCCTGACTCCTGCCCAGCACGGATCAGGAAGAATCCCAGTGCTCCCAGCCCGAGGAGCTGAGCAGGGAGCACAGGTGAGATCCCGTTACCTGTAGGAGCTCTCCAGGACCGGTCCCCGCTGCGCCCGCTCCAGCTCCAGAGTCCGCACCTGGCAGGAGTGGGACGGGCTCCAGGTGCCACCCTGGGCACGGAGCTCCTGTGGCCACCTCTGGCTTCCCCGTGTGACACCCTCAGCTGTGACACCCTCAGGTAACTCCCTCAACCCCCACCTGGTTTTCCAGCTCCTCCACCCGGGCCTGGAGGCTGCGCAGGGTGATCCCACAGCCTGGATGCTCTTGGCACAGATGGGACTGGAGAGTTTGGGAATCCTGGTGGGGCTGGGAGGGGAGAGCCCCTGGATCCTCCTGGTGGGGCTGGGATGTTTCCAGATCCTCCTGGCGCTTCTGGGCTGGGAAAGCTCCTGGATGCTCTGGGCAGAGCCAGGGCGGAAGAGCTCGGGGGTTCTCCAAGCAGGGCTGGGCTGGCAGCAGATCCTCCTGTGGGGACACAGGGATGCTCCAGGAGAGGCCTGGGAAGGGCAGCTCCCCTCTCCTGGGAATGCTGATCCATGTCCAGCCCCCCCAGTTCCAAGGGATCCCTAGGGACACCTCCCTGCTCCTGCCCCAGCACCCACCTGAGCGGGCGTGGCAGGACCCGGCACCTCCTGCACTGCTGGGGTGGAAAATGGAACAGATCCATCCTGGGGACTCGGCAGCCAGAATGGAACTGTCCCATCCCATAGATCCCATCCCATCATCCCAGGTGACCTCAGAGGACACCTGGGGGTGACAGAGGCCTCACCTGCTGCCACCTGCCCACGGGGCTGTGTCCTGATGGGGAGATCCAGCCTGGATCAGGAAACAAATTCCGCAGGGAGAGTGAGGGGAGCCAGGACTCTCCCCCAGCCTGGCCTGTCCTGTGTCACCTGTGTCATATCATCTGTCCCATGTCAGGGATCCCACCTTTGGGATTTGGAGGGAACAGGGACACCCCGGGGGTGCCCTCCCCCCACACTGGTCACCTGAGCCCTGCCAGGTGACACCTGTGTCACAGGTGAACTGAGCCAGGGCAGGAATTCTGGACCAGGGCCATTCCCTGGGCACACCTGGAGGAGACCATGGGACAGGAATCCTGATCCAGGAGATCTCCTCAATCCCAGGTGAGAGTTCTGGGAGGAGCCTTTACCTGCTGGGCTCGGGGGGCTCTGGGACCCTCTGGGTGTGGGAACTCCGCTCTGGAGCCTCAGCCTGGGATTGCTTCTGTGCCAGGGCAGCGCTGAGCCAGCTCCCACCCTCCTGTCCTGGGGGATCGGGCCCTGACCCTGGGAAATCCTCGTTCTTTTGTCCCAGTCCCGGGAAATCCTTGTTCTTCTGTCCCAGTCCTGGGAAATCTTTGTCTTTCTGTCCCAATCCCAGGAAATCCTCATCCTTCGATCCCAATCCTGGGAAATCCTCATCCTTCAGCCCCAGCCAGGTGGCCCCAGAGGGACGTCGGGAGCTGCTCCCAACCGGACACCTGTGGGGGGAGAGGGACACTGGGGACACCGGGGACACGGCTGGGTGGGGACATCCTCCCTCCCTCCCTCCCTCCCCGGTACCTCCGTCCCCGTCTCTGCCCAGTCCCTGAGGCCACCGAGGGCTCGTAGAATCCAAAGGGAAAATCTGGCTCCTCTCGGCACCTGCCCAGCCCTGCGGAACAACGGCCCTGGGTCACGATTCCCGAAATTCCAAATGGGATGGAGCCTCTGGAAAACACTTTCCATGGAACCCCCACCCCCAGCCATGCTTACCCGTCTGCTCCTGCTCCTTGGGATCCGGCTGCAATTCCGCTTTTCCCGGCTGCTCTGGGGTTTTTCCCGCAGAGCCTCCTCCCAGCAGCTCCTGGATCCCGGTGTGGCCCTTCCGGAGCCCCTGGCTGGGCACAGGGGGGTGGCACCAGGGGTGGCACCAGGACCACCCCATCCCTGTCCCCATCCCGGTGTCCCCTCACCCTCCCGGTGTTCCCTGCGCATTCCTGGCTCCGTCGGCACTGCTCCCGAGCCCCAGGGAATCCACCAGGTCATCGACGTCGTCCCCAAAGGTGACATCAGGACGTGGTGGGGCTGGGGGGGAATGGCACCGATGGCATCTGGGACGTCCCTGGGTGTCACCACCTCTGGGACAGCTCCCGGTGTCACCAGCTGGATTTGGGACATCTCCAGGTGGCCCCAGCTCTGGGAGTCTGTGTGTCCCCCTGGTCCCCCTCACCGCTGTCTCTGCTCCGTCCCGCTTTGTTCCCGGAGCTGTTCCCAGGCCCCGCCGGCTCCTCCGGGTACGGCTTTTCCAGGGGGTCCCCCGGATCTGGGAATGCCCCTGGAAGGGTGGGAAAAGGCAGGAAGAGGCACAGATCCATGGGAAGGATCTGGGAACAGGGCGTGGGGTTGGATCCCACGGGAATTCCTTGTACCTTTTCCAGGACCCAGCCCCTTCCTGGCGTGTTTCCCCAGCCTGGGCCCGACTCTGGCCATTCCCAGGATTTCTGCATCCAGCTCATCCAGGTGATCCAGCTCCTGGGGAGGGGCAGCTCCTGCCCTCACCTGCAGCTCAGGTGGGATCCCCAAAACCTTTGGGAATTCTGTGCCCGCTTACCTTTGCCCCTTCTGCATTCTCCGCTGGGAATTTCTCGTTCCCCGCTGGGAATTTGCCTCCGGAATCCGGATCCAGGCTCTCCCTGGGCACAGCCCAGGTCAGGGGGGTGGGGAGGAGTCCCAGGTGCTCCCAGGTGGGAACACCTGGAAAACGAGGCTCATCCAGCCCCAGGGTGGGGGAGCAGGGCTGGGAATGCCGGGGAGATTCCGCAGTGTGGGATTGGAGGGGCTCACCTGGGGCTCACCTGCGGGAAGGGGGCCCGGGAACCTCGCGAAGGGGGAGCCGGGGGCTCCTCTGGAAACAAGGGAGGGGTCAGGGATGGACAGAAGGGGATTCCCTCCAGGAGATCCCAGGGGATTCCCTCCAGGAGATTTTGCTGGGAACTCCCATTTTACCATCGAACCCCAGGAGCTCCCCGAGCACGTCCTCGATGGGATCTGGAACAGGACAATGCCCAGGTGATCCAGGTAAGCCCAGGTGCGTTCCCCATACCAGGCAGGTGGGAAAAGCTCCTGGAACATTCCCTGTCCAAGTGTCCAGGTGAGAGCACTCACCTGGTATCCTGCTCCGGGCCTTGGCAGCCTGAGGAGAGACACAAATTCCCTTGGGAGAAATGGAAGCACCGGGATTTCCCCACATGCTAAAGCTGAGCTATTGTGCAGTTTTCACCTGGATCCCGGACCTGTCACACTCACCTGGATCTCACCTGGATCCCTGCCCATCCCACCTGGATCCCCCCTTCACACTCACCGTGGCGCGTCCCAGCCCGTCCGCCATTGCCGGGCGATCCCAAGCTGCCCCTGCCCGGTGCCGGCTCCGGGTCCCCCGAGGTCAACCCTGTCCCGGCGCTGAGGGGAGAGGGACGCGCTGTTCGGGGTTCCACTCCCGTCCCTCCCGCCCGGAGGCTCCCGGGGCTCCTCCCGCCTTTCTCACCCGGCACCGCGATCGCCATGGGCGCCGCCATATTGCGCGCCGTCCTCATGGAAGGTCCCCGTTGCCGTAGCAACGAGGCCGCCCACGCAGCGCCTGATTGGAAAGTGGCCGTTACCATAGCAACGCCCCCCCGCGCCTCTGTCGGGATTCTCCTCTGCATCGCCGGAGATCCCCACATATCGTGAGTTTTATCCATAGCGGGAGCTCTGGGTTTTCAGGCTCACGCACCCCTGTACGACTGCTGGATGTAACGTTGCGATATGTTGTCATAAAATCGCGATATCCCAACACAACACCCCGGGATGCTGCCACAAAACTACCAAAACACAACGGAGGCCCCAAAATCGCCTTTATTTATAAACAAACGGGGCAGGTTTGGAGCCTCAATGCGGCTCCAGGGGGAGAAATGGGGTGAAAATGGGGGTGGCGGACACTGGGATGTACTGGGAAGAACTGGGATGCGCTGGAAGGGGCCACTATTGGTAGTAGAGCTCTAGGTTCATCCCATCGTGGATCTCATCTGGAGCCAGAGTTAAAGAAAAGTGAATTTTTGGGGGTTTGCTGTGCGGGGGTTGAAGGATTTGGGGTGGAATTTTTGGTATTGAAGGATTTTGGAGAGAGGGAGGGGGTTTGGAGTTTGGTGTTGATTGATTTCGGGGAGGGGTTTTGGGGTTGAAGGATTTTGGGGAGGGAGTTTGGTGCTGGTGGATTTGGGGGAAGGGTTTCGGGGGTTTTTGGGGTGCAGGTGGATACAGTCCCCGAGTGTGACGTGGTCCTTGAAGATGGTGTACCTGGAGGGGGAAGAGGAGGCAGGGGTGTCACTCCTTCCCCAAAATCCCACAGCTCCCTCCTGACCCCCCAAACCTCTGGGGTGGTCCGGTGTGAGCCCAGAGCCCCCCAAATCCCCATGGCTTCTCTCCTGGCCCTCCCAAAACCCCCCGCATCCCCCAAGACCCTCCCCAACCCCTTCAGGCGCACCCTGAGGCCTTTCCCAAATCTCCTCACGTGCCCCCCAAAAGCTCTCAGGTGTCTCCTGGAGCCCCCCCAGCCCCCTGGGGTGCCCCCCTAGCCCCCCGTACCATTTCTTGAGCACGATCTTGTCCCAGCGGGTGCCGGTCTGGGCTGCGATCAGCTTCTTCAGGTCCCGGATCGAGTCCTCGGGGCTGCAGAGCCGTCAAGGAAAGGAGGCACGGGGAGGGACCCCCCAGAACCCCCCCAGAACCCCCCCCGAACCCCCAAATCCGGATACTTGCATTTCACCCTGACCTTCTTCCCCAGACGGTCATTGCAGACAACCTCGATCATGGCTGGGAAAAGGGGAATGGGGGAAAAGGAGGGAAAGGGAAGGAAAAGGCGAGGAGAGAGGAGGGAGAAGGGGTAGAGAAGGGGAAGAGGGATGGAAAAAGAGTAAAAGGGGAGAGGGGCGGTAACGGAGGGAGTTAAAGAGGGAAGAGCCTCCCGGTTCCATCCCCCGGTGCCCCCAACCTCAGAACCCCCTACGGGCCCGCCCCGGTTCCTCCCCGGCACCACCGGAACCCCTTCCCGGTCCCTCGTGGGTACCTCCCGAGCCCCTTCGGGACCCCCAAAATCCCTCTCGAGCACCCTGGGCCCCCCCGGTACCTCCCGGGCCCTCCTCGCTCTGCCACTGCCGCGACGGAACCGGAAGTGGCGTCGGAACAATGGCATCGGGCGCCGGAAATACGTCATCAGTGACGGCCAAGATGGCGGCGGCTCCTGTGGGGGAATGGGTAGGGAAATGAAGGAGGATGGGGAAAATTAAAAGAGAAATGGGGGAAATGAACAGAGAAATGGGGGACAGTGGAGGGGAATGGGAGAGAGAAAGGGAGAAAAATGTGGGAACAAAGGAAAGCAGTTGTGGGAATGTGGGGAAATGGGGAGAGGAATGCGGGCAGGGAGGTGCTGCCAATGTGGAATTCAGGAAGTTTTCTCCCAAACGTCGCTTTCTCGTGTTTGATCACGGTTTGAACAAAGCAGCTTTGGAGGCTCATCCCGGCCTCTCCTCTCCCTCACGGGGAGGAATTTCTGCCCCCGGTCCCCCCTCCTTTGCCCTAAAGCCACGGCAGGGCCTTCACCCCCCGGCCACTGACCAGACACTGAAAGGACACTGACCGTGCTGGCACCAGCTGGAGCTGTGGGATGGCAGTGGGGACAGGGACCCCCTCAGGGCTCCTCTGGCTTCTCCCGGGGCTTCCTGGGAGGCGACAAAACCCCCCTGATGTGTCCTGCTCCAGGGATCCTGCTGCTCCAGGGATTCTCTGCTCCAGGGATTCTCTGCTCCAGGGATTCTCTGCTCCAGGATCCTGCTGCTCCAGGATCCTGCTGCTCCGCCGTTCTGGGAGTTCTGATGCTCTGGGATCCCTCGGGATGTTGGGACTCAGGGCGCAGTTGGATGTTCTGGAGCTCGGGGAATTACCGAGCACCTTTGGACTCTCTTCTCCTGCTGCTGCTTTGGGGCCCAACCTTCAGCGGTACCGACACAGCACGGGGGGACACGGCTGCTCCAGGTGACACAGCCAGGACTGGTGACGCTGTGCTGACCCCCAGTCTCACCCTGACACTCTGCTGAC